GTCGCCCCTCCGGGGGACGGGCGGGGGCGGCAGCGACAGGGCCACCGCACCCCCAGTCTCGGATCCGCTCCCTCCGGGCGGGCAGCCACTGCCCACCCGCCCCCTCCCTGTGCTGGCCGAGCTGCCCCGTGCCCATCCCCACTGCCCACCCGGTGCCGGGGCCGCCGCTCGCAGCCACTCTCCCCGGCAACTTTCCGTGCTTTGTTCTCCGCCTGGAAATGATTTACGGAAGCGTCTTGGACGCCAGGCGGCCAATGCCCCGCGCTGAGCTGTGTTCCGCTCGCGTCTCCCCATCAATTATGGATAGGAACAAATAAGGAAGAGTCAATTTTGCATGAGCCCCTTCTCCCGCGGCGGCGAGAGGCGCGTCCGGCCGCTGGGCGGGAGCCTTCGCCTTGGTCTGCAGCAGCGGACCGGGGGATGGTGAGGACGAAGGTAGGGAAACTTTTATTCCCCATCCTGACGGCCCAGAGGAGGGTCCCCAGGCTGCAAAGCCTGATCCGGCAGCCCGCTGGGGGGCAATTTCGAAGCGTTTAAAGCTTCTATTATGTAGAACTCTTGGATTCAATGGAAAGGTCATAAAGGACTAGCCAGTGTAGGCGAGATCTGGGCTTGGAAGACTCCAGGCATTATAGCGACCAAGGGAGGGTTTGTACTGGACGCCCCGGGGGGCTTTAAGGTCATGAGTTGTAGCACGTAAAGGACCCAGGCGCTCGCATTACCTGGTAGGTCAGCATCCCCACCCCTCACCGCCCTCAGCTGGGTGATTGTCATTCATAGCAGAGATTACAAATCATTATTAGGGAAACGTGGTTTTGCCAACAGTCAGTGGACCTTATCTCCGTTAAAAATAAAGGCAGTGTTTCCGGTTCCTGGAAGGGGGGCGGGCAGGGGAGAGTGTCTAGGGCAATTTTCTCAAGAACTTCTGGCTACTTCCTCTGTAAGTCTGCAGTCAAAAGTGTGAGCGTGTTGTAAAAATCACCTTTCCGTTCACTCGGTATTTGAGCCAATATTGGATTCTTGTCTTCATTATGAAGGTTGAAGTCTCAAGGAAAGGTTTATCATGCTCCTGAACTGGTACGGTCTCTGTCTCTCCAGAGTAGTGCAGGTACCTGTTTAAGGATTCCCCCCACTCCGCATGGTTTTTTCTTCCTAGAATTAAAAGATAGGGATGGCTTAGAGTGAAGAGTTTACTAACCTTTTGGTGCTTAGAGACAGTAGAGCTTGATGCTGCTTCATAAAAATTTTTCCCTCACGCTCCTCAGTATCTAACTCGGGAAATTAAGTTGTGTGTAGTCATGTTTAATGTAGTGAGTATTCTGTCAGGTTGGCAGATATTACAGAAACATTTACCCTGGTTTCGATAAATAGAACTTGCCAGATCAGCTCTGAGCTTGGGTCTATAGAACCAGTAGTTTCCACATCTTACGTTAAATAAACTCTCAGTCAGCCGTAGTTGAGTTTTGTGTTTTGTCTAGTTCGTGTCTGTCATTGGATTGAGGTCCTTAGAGTGTGCTTTCCAAAAGCCAAAGAGTTAACCCTCGGATTTCCAAAACGTCAGGAAGTGGGTGGTTTTCTTTATAGGCATATGTCACTTAGAGGAACGATTGCCAGCGATTTCTTCCTAGATCCTATAGCCCACCCAGTGCTTGCCAGCCTCCTCCTTCTACTAGAGGTGCTACAGAGAGAGCCTTTTCAAGAAACGTTGTGAGGCAGGACAATGTGCCAGGGATATTGTGCCTCCCTCATCACCAGACAGCTGGCTAACGGGAGTTTGATTTAGATTTGTGGGCACTCTGCCGGCCTATCTTTTTTTTTTGGGGGGTGCCCTCTAAGAGCACCATCTGGTCATGTCTCCCCTGGTTGGATGGCATTGAAAGATGGCTGTGACGTAAACCTGTTAGTCCTTCGAGTGAAGGCAACGTAGACATGCAGTGGACTTGGACTCCCTGGCACAGGGAGGCTCTGTCCAGTAACTGAGATCTGGGTAAGCGGGGCCCTGCATCACATGCCACGGTTTCTGTGGCTTGAGAGACACACAGGCAACAAGGAAGCTGGAGTCTGAGCTTTGGATCATAAAGAAGTTCGTAATGATGAAGGACTTACTGAAAGTGGAGTTCTTCATCCTTGCTGCTCCATCAAAATGAACCTCGGTAATTAGCTTAGTCATTGTTCTCGCCTGTGAAGTTCCCTAAGATACTGAGAGTGAAAAAAAGCATCTGAATCAGGGTCATTTTTCACCCTCCTGATGCATTTCACAGAGTGGAGAGCCTGGCTGGCTGCCTACCCATTATTGGTGTAACCATAGGAGGTGAACTCCTTCCTTAGCTGGATAAGAGATTGCCTTTTATTTCAATTAAGATACTTTAAGGTTGCACATTCAAGACTGGTTCCTTCACAGCGAAGCAGGAGGGTGTTGAGCGATGCCACCTGGTCAATATTTATTGTATACCTGTCATTTGCAAGGAACTGACTGGCCTAGCCCATGTTCCACCGCCAGATGAGCAGGATATGTTTTTGTATGTTCAACTTGAGCAAGAATAAAAAGAAATCAAGGATGGCCAAGTGAATGACTGGGCAAGACCAGTAATCAGGCACCTGTCTTTTGAAGCACATTATTTTATCCTCGATCTTTTCAGGCAAGATTAGCCTTACCAGTTATTTATGGTGTCTCAGGCCTCCCCCTTGAATGCTAATGATTCAGGGAACTGTTAGTAACAATTCACAGATTGAAACTCTCCCAAGATTTAGAGCCCTGGTTTGCTGCGGCTCGCGGGTATGAAGAGGTCCAGTTACAATCTACCAAAGTCAATGGCGCTGGTTGCTGTTTATTTTGTGAATTGCTGCCAACAAGAAAAGAGTGTGTGTTTTGATGTATTCCCATGACACATGGGGAGAACAGACGTCACACAACTCTACTGGGCACACTTCAGTTGTTGCCGCCTTCCCTAGGCTGCGTTCTCCTCCTCAGACCCTGGCCACAGAGGCAGTACAGCTGAGAGTTGAAGCTGCTTTCATTGCTCCCAACAAGAAAACTAACTGTTCTTCCTTTGAAAGACATCTATTTAAGTAGCCCACCGTGAATCAAATCAGTGGTCCACCCAGAGAACCAGATGAGGGGTCCTTATTTCTCAAACTTTTCTTCTCTATTAGGCTTTTGTTAATTCTCCCAGATTAGCATTTTAACAACCCTGAAGTGAACTTCTGCCACTGGCTCCACTTGGATTCAGTATGTAGCTCATCCATCATCCTGTCCTTGGCTACAACAGGCTGCTGGCTCCGTCACCATTTGGAGCTACACAGAATCCATCTGACTGTGAACAGCACAGCTGGCTACAGCAGTTTTTCCTTCCACACCACTGGCAGCATTGTCAGGCTATGGTAACTAAAGTTAACACCCTGAACGCGGGCGGAGCTTGCATTGTTTGGCAACCTGTGCCTGGCCCCTCATCTGGCTCTAGGGGCACACCTGCAGAAAAAGCAGCCCTGCCTCATTGCCTTGGGTAACATGCCCCACTTGAGCCGGGGCTTGCCCCAGCCTCATGAGACCCACAGCAAAGCCTCGTTAGGCTTGCTGATTGAACTATCAGGATCACAGAAGTGTCGCTGTGTGCCATCACGTTGATTGGGAATGACGATTGGAACCCAAGCCAAGCCGACTGCCATGGAGTCGGTTCTGATGCATCGGGACCCTGTAAGGCAGAGAGAACTGCAACGTGGAACTGCTGAGGCTTTACAGAAGCACGTTGCTGCACCTGTTTCCTGCGGAGTGGTTGGTGGGTTTGAACCACCAACCTTTTGGTGAGCAGCCTCATGCTTTACCCGCTGCACCACCAGGCCTCCCTGATTGATGGTGAAAGGACCTGTTACAGAATTGTTGTTGGGTGCCCACGAGGCAACTCTGACTCACAGCAACCTTGCGTGTAGAGTAAAACTGCCTGTGGGGTGGTCGAGCCTGTCACCTTCACAGGGAAAAAGCATGAGTCCTTTCTTCCTCCAACCGTGGAGTGGGTTCGATCCCTCCACCTGGTGGTTTGATCCATCACCCAGGGCCTTAATGGGGATACGACCAGGGCTCCTCGTTACAGAATCAGCAGGAGTCTTCCTGGCAAGACTCATCCCAGACCTCAGTCTCTATTAAAAGGGGTAGGAAGAAATGAATTTGACTTAGACGCTGATTTGCCATCGCTTCTCAGACGTTTGGCTAAGATCGAGTGTAGACATTGATTCCAAATGACTGAAAGCAGGGTAAGAGCTTGTCTAGTGCTTGGGGAATGACACTTGTCAGTCGCTTTGTCCTTTTGCACAAATAGCATGTGATGTTCCTACATCTGAGATCCATGTCTAATGCCTTCTTTCATTTTTAATTCACTTGTTTGCCTTCTTGCTTTTCGATCAGATAATTGTTAACAGTACTTATTGCTTATTAGGCAAGAAGGATATCACTTAGGTGGGTACATTGGTAAGATTATGTCACCAGGCTTTTTCCTTTCTTTTCTCTTTTTTAAGTCATTTGCTTTTTCTGTTTTGTCTTGTTTTTTCAAGAACTTGTAGAATGAGGAATTCGGCTTTGGGAATTGGACGAGTGGAGGGGAGATGGTCTCATGGTTTGGTTGACGTTAGCTAGTCTTCTCTCCTCCCCCTAACATTCATGAAACCAGTCGCAAAATAGCTGGGAGGTGGAGGGAGAGAACTGGGAGGAGGAGGTTAGTGGAGAAAAGGAAAAGAAGAAACAATGGCAATTCAGCCATTGAAGGCTTATTGCTAGTCGCTTACTGAGTTCTAGGTGCCATATGAAGCGCTTTCTCGTGTTTTTTTTTTTTAATATTTATACGGAATGAAGTGATATAGGTACAGTATGGCTATGCTCTTAAATCTTCACCTTTCCCTAAACTGAATCATATCTGGGCCCTTCCATTTTCATTCTTGTTGGCCAAATAAATATGACGCTCTTTCCAAGTGCCCTAGGAAAGCACCTTCCTCCACCGTGTCTCTGCAAGGCCTTCCTCCTGTGCAAGATGACAGTGGCCTAGGACAAATGGCAGTAGTCATCACGCTCTCCCAAAAGGTGCTTCAGCGTCCCAGGGCGATTGGCATTCATTTCCCTGCTCTTGGCAGGGGAAGATGCATGATGCTGCCTTGTCCAGGCCCCAGGAGTATTTATGGGCCCCATCAGCAACGAGAGTGAAAGCTATGCAGGCAAGAGTGGCACCAGGCTGGAGAGTGGATTTCTGACGTCTGACTACGTATTACATGGGAATGTCCATGTTCTCTTCGTTACACTGGCAGGAAAAACAAAACAAAACAAAGCCCTTCCCCTATATGAGTAGCCAGAGAGATGGAGAAATTGTCACCCAGCATCAGTCGGTTGGTTGGTTGGTTGGTTTGTTATTCAAGATACTGAGAGAAAAAGACCAAAAAATTAGAACCTAACC